AGAGAGAGAGAGAGAGAGAGAGAGAGAGAGAGAGAGAGAGAGAGAGAGAGAAGAAGAAGAAGCAGAGAGAAGGAAGTGAGGTTTGGGGGAGGGGGAGGCACGGCTCTGCTGCCATCATCCACTCCAAACTGCAACCGTGTGAGAATCGGCCTAGGAGCTCGGGGCTATCTGGATGTGACACGCTGACACTGATCCTCCTCGGGCTCCATGAACCTGGCCTGGTGGTAGCTCATCTGGTTACGAAGTTGGCCAACTCGTGGAATTTTGGCAATTTTCTATAATAATCATAATTATCATAATAAATTTCATTTATATAGCGCATATCCACAAAGAAGTGCTCAATGCGCTGTACAATAATACAAAGAAGAACGTATTCAGCGCACAGCTCCGATAGTAACCCCTCCAACAACAACAAATTTATTTTTAAAAATTTACAAATCGCAAACTCATGCCTCTACCTCTCCCTCGCCCCCTCTCTTACCGGACTCGCGACAAGATATCCTCAACAGCGCTGGAAGTGAACGGGTCCCCGTCCGAGCCCACGTTCCTCATGAGCTGCACGCCCTCTGGTGTGACCCAGTTGGCGAAGGGTCCTTCCACCACCGGGCCCTGGGACGTACCGAAGAACTCTGACGTCCACAGGGGCGACAGGGTCGGGTCATCCAGCTCTGCGTCCAGTGTCGAGTCCCAGTAGGGCAGACAGACGGAGGCGTCCACCTCACGCAGGGCGGTCTCGAACCTGGAGGGAGTGAAGGAGGGGTAATAATAGATAGCATTTAATTTTGTATAGCGCAAATACCCGCTTAACAGCAAGCTCTATGCGCTTCGCAATCTATACTACGTATTACCCCAGCAGACCTGAGAGCATTCTGAAACAACCTTAACTTCCTGGGAAGCATACAGTGCAAGCAGCCATTTACAGGCGCTAAAACGCTTACTAACATACTGACAAGATCAAGGGTAAAAAAAAAGGGGGGGGGGGGGTGGTAAAAAGGGAGGTGAGAGGGGTAACATGGAGTGAGGTGAGATGTATATGTGTGTGTACGTGGTGAAACACCAAAAACAGTGTGCCGGGATCAGGACAGTAAAGGCTTATATCTGATCTGATCTGATCTGATTTTTTCTCATCTTGTGTTATGAAGCAAGGTGAGGTGAGGTAGGTAAGGTGAGGTGGGAAAGGGGAAATTAGCTGAGGTGACATAAATAAGGCGAAGTGAGCTGAGGTGAGATAGGTTAGGAGAAGTGAACTGAAGGTTAGATAGTTGGAGTGAAGGGAGGTGAAGCGCGAGATAGGTAAAGTGGGGAGAGGTGAGGTGACATCAGGTAAGTAAGATGAAGTGAGGTGAGATGATATAAATAAGGTGTCCTATGGTGAGGGGATGAAGCACGAGGCAAAGTGAGGTGAGACAAAGCAAGCCAAATGAGATGGTGTACAAGGAGACAACTCATAAGAAATGGAATGTGATAAGAAGGAGCAATGCAAAGATGTATAAGACAAGAAAAGATGAGATGTAATGAGATAATAAAATAAAATCTAATTAAACGAATTAAGATGAGATGATACAAGACATGCTATGATAAAGGTTAAATGAAATATGATCTAGTGAGATGGAATGAAGCGAGATAATGTTATACAAAAGATATTACATAACAAGGTGAGATAAGATGTGATTCTGTCAGACGAGAAGACAAAAGGCAAACTGAAAAGCAATGAAGAAAAGCACGATAGAGTTTTGTGATGTTGAAATATAAAGCCCTTAAGTAGGCTCCTTGACACGATGGTCGTTGTGCAATTTGTGTTGTGTTGTGTTGTGTGTGTGTGTGTGTGTGTGTGTGTGTGTGTGTGTGTGTGTGTGTGTATGAGTGTGTGTGTGTATGTGTGTGAATG